ATGCAACCATTTCCAACAGAAATGTGGCCATTTGATTGTTGACAAGTTGGAGAAACTGCTTTGCAGTTAAGTGGCTATGGCCTGTCAATGAGCTTGTGAGCTGTGGAGTGGCTGGCAGGAACCTGTAGGTAGAGATGTTTCACATCTTGCTGATGGGCACTCCTGGTCTCGAGGAATGTCAGAAATATATATTTCCTTTATTTTTTATGTTTGTACCACATCTGACTATGCTCAAGGCTTACTTACTGTTGGCTCTGTGCTCAGGTACCATGCTGGCCAGAGCTCAGGAGACCACATGGGGTGCCAGAGATTGAGCCTGATCAGATCAGGTACAAGGCATATGTCCTACCTGCTGTACTATTGCTCCAGCCCTGGGGATAAATACTCTTTTTTTTATTAGTGAAACACCATGAAGTACAGTTGTAGACTTACAAACTTTCATGCTTGGGTTTCAGTTCTACAATGATCGAGTACCCATCCCTCCACCAGTGCCCATTCTCCACCACCAATGATCCTGGGGATAAATATTCTTAATGACACATACCAATATAGTAGCAAGACATTTTAATTGTTTTTCTAATTGATGGAGGTTCTGTTATTTACAACATAGTGCATGATGGTTTCCCACACACACAATCCAACACCACACCCATCACCAGTGTACCCGTCTCCTCCCCCAATCAAGGACTTCAAGATCTTTTATTAAATTCTTTTTGGATCTGGATCTTATATCATTTTTATTTGAAGGTGAGTTTCGGTTACATTTCAGTTAACTGAAAATATGCATACCTTCATTTTTTATATAGGGAGAAAAGTATTATTGATGTCTTAATGATGTAAGTAAAGAGAGGGCTGATCATGCCTTCTTAAAGAAAGGGAGAAACAGTACAAAGATTAAGGCTCTTGCCTTGCATGGGGCTGACCGACCTTCAATACCTGGCCCTACATATGGTCTCTTGACCAGAAGTAACCCCTGAGCAGAGCCAGGAGCAGCCCCAGTACTACCAGTTGTAGTCATCTATCTCTCCCCTTCAAAGAAAGGGAAGTAAATTAAAAACACAGAAACACGTATTAGTTCATTTTGTAACTTTGCATTCTCTTAGGGAGAGGGTGAGTCAGGATAGAGAAACCCATGTGTTAGGGGTGTGTGTGTGTGTGTGTGTGTGTCCTCAGGCATGACACCCAATTTCTCTCAAAAGTTTCCTTTTCTGTTGAAGGAGGCATTATCATAGCACCTACTACAAGGCTGTTGAAAAAGTCTATCAGCACACATTCTCATCAACAGCTTTCACCGATGATCTGTCTACCAAGTGTTATTCATCCCTACAATCTGCACTACCTTATTGGAGGTTCACAATGTACTTTTCGCAAGTTTCCTTAGCATTTACAGAAGGGTGGTATTTCTTCACTTCCTGCTGAAATGGTAGAGCAGTTGCTCCTTGAGCCATTAAGGAATGAGATGAAAGGGAGGTCTTAGTCAACAGGGCATTCTGCTGACCCTCTACTTGACTCTGAAAGCAGAAGGCACTCACAAAATGCTTGTCACCAAACTGAGAGCCAAATACACAATTCAGAAGATATGCATCGTCTGTAGGCATTATATGTGTACCTTTTCATCTGCACCACTGCTTCTGGCAACTGAGGCGGGATCCCAAGGAGACTCCCCTTGTTGCTTAATTTAGGTTTAGATGAAGTTGTTTGTCATCAAGAGCCATAAGTCTGGTCCCGAAATGTTTCTTTGATTATATGCCAGCTTCTTTGTTACCTAAGGAAGAACTAGGCCCTCCCATTTTGGTCAGTTTCTCCCTGGCCCCTATCCATAATACCCTGGTCAGGAACTCAGTTTGAGTGTGGTAACTCAGATTTGAAGCCCAAACACAGTATTTCTTTTGACTTTCCCTGTATTTCGTTGCATGTTACTAGGAAAGTACAGAAGAAAGTGAATCTGTTATTATCTAGGAGGAAAGAATGATTTTTAGCAAGTTCATGGTTATACAAAACAATCAGTTCCAGACACAAATTTACCAAAACCTTTATATGAAAACCTGATTATACAGGTTTTTATATACAAAATTACCTTGGGGTTCTTTTTGATAATGATTGTTTTCACTGTACAAACCTATACAACATATAGTTAATCTACTTCACTGATGAAAGATAAAACTCATTGCTATGGCTTGGATGTCCTGTAATAAGTATAAAAACTGAACAAGAAGGGCCCTTGTCAGTATCTGTTCTATATTAGAAGCTGATAGTCTGTACAACTTTAAAGTCTTTAGATAGTCTCCTGAGCTTGACATATTCATAACAATTGCACAGAGTTGCTGAGTAAGAACTAAGCAAGGTTAACATGGCACCAACCATGTAGCTGTGGGTAGCATTTGCAACATCATCCTGGCTGCCATTGGCATCATCATCTTATTTTTTGCAACTCCTCAAAATGATTTGGAGGAGGGTGGGTTGAGTTTCCCTCCCCACCCCGAGCAGAGCCCCGGCAGCTGAAGACCTCCGGTTCCAGCCACAGCCATGCTTAAGACCACTCTCCACATGTTTGGACGAGCCTCACGCATGAAGGAACCGGCAGAGGAACCCAGGTGTGCCAGACCCGGGGCGTAGATCTCCAAGACTGCTCGGATTGGGACTGGGGCCTCCTTCACCCAGATCCCCATCTTCCAGTATGTAGGCATTACACTCACCAAGTGCCCCCGGTGCTGTGTAATACCATCAACGGAGACTATAAAATCCTGCTGCTGGAAGCGTGCGGCTGCATTTGCAGCTGTGCGACATCTTATCATCTAGTTCTTACTCTGGAGAACTTGGCAGGCTACCAAAAGTATCCTGCCCACACAGCAGATTCTGGCAAACACCCCGTGGCGTATTCAATATGCCAAAAACCAGTAACAATTATGGGTCTCATTCTCCTGACCCTGAAAGAGCTTTGAATGTGGCACTTTTTAAAATCTCAGGGCTAGGACGAAGGAGACGTTACTGGGGCCTGCTCGAGGCAATCGATGAACAACAGGAAGACAGTGATACAGTGATGACTTTGGGGTTCTTAGATTTTTAGATTTCTACTTTGTCCTCCATGTAACAGAATTCTTAACCTTTCTCATAAGAGAGGTAGCCCCTCTCCTGAGGCTTTTTTTTTTTTTTGATTGTTGTTCTTGGGCCATATCTGGAAGTATTCAGGGTTTACTCTTGTCTATGTGCACAGGGATTGCTTCTGGTGGTGCTCAGAGTATAAGGTACTGGGGATCAAATCCAGTCAGCAGCATACATGGCAAGCATGCTACCCACTGTCTATGTCTAGGAAACCCAATTCTTTTCTTTTCTTTTCATTTTGTGTGTGTGTGTGTGTGTGTGTGTGTGTGTGTGTGGTGGTGATGCGGGTGCCACACCTGACAATCAGGGCTTACTGCTGCTCTGCACTCAAGAATTTCTTTTGGCTGTGCTCAGGGGGACCATATGGGATGCCAGGGATAAAATTTGGATCTGTTGCATGCAAGGCAAATGCCTTACCTAATGTACTATCAAATCCAAGGAAGTCCATTTCTTATCTGCACCTTTGTTGCCTATTGACCAAGTAAAAGAATGCTTGACTTTTCATTCCCCCTTTGTCCTGCTCAAAGCTGGGCAACTTCCCAGTACAGGAGGTTTCAGTTTGGGGAAAATGCACCCTCGTAAATGATTTGTAAATGATGTATGAGGAACAGCACCGTCTCTATGGATATGTCAAAACTGTGACAAAGCAGGCCGCTCTGACCGGTAGCATTAGGTCGAAAGGGTCACCAGGTGGCTGACCAACGGTGCACGGCTCTATTCATTGTCCCATTCACTTTCCCACGTCCCATCCCCTTTTCCTTTCTTTTGGGTGGGCTGTGGAAACATACTTAAGTCTGTACCTATGCTCTGAATAAACGCACGCACGCATTCATGCCATCTCCTGAATGATGGAACCCTGTGTGACTCGAGTGCTGATTTCACCCTGATGGCCCTCCCCTGGCTCGGCCCCGCAGCGCCAGACGCGGCACACCTTGTTCTGTTTTAAACCTAATCCAATGTTATTCCAGTCTCCTTGTCTTTCAAAGCTTCTCTGTTCCATTTTTGTTTGAAATTAGAAGGTAGATCAGAACCTGGCAACCGTTGATCCCAACACCTGTCTAGTCACAGATGGCTTTTCAGGACCAACCTCTGTCTTCAGACTGTTCCTGTGTAGTCCAACCCTTTATGCAGAACACTCCATGGAGTGGGTGTTGAGAAAATGGTAGACAAGGGATGTTTCTTGTGGTTATTTTCCCCCCACAGTTCCCTTTTTTTTTTTCAGTTTTTATTTTGTTTTAGATTATACCTGGCTGTATTCAGGGCTTTCTCCTGACACTGTACTCAAGGATCACTTTTGGCAGTGCTCACAGGACCATATATGGGGGTCAAACCCAGGTTGGCTGTATGCAACTCAAATGGCTTCTTCAACTCCTGTACTATATTTCTGGTCCTTCTCACTTATATTTGTTTCTTTTTTCTTAATTCTCTTATTTCTTGACCTCTTTTCCTATCTCTTGTTTCCAGTTCTACTTGACATCAGTCAAATCATTTTTCATTTCTTTTTGTCCTCCCACCCCCATCAAAACTTCCAGAACAGGGGCCAGAGAGATAGAAGAGGCATTAAGGCTATATAAGGCATAATAAGGCCTACATAAGGCCTTAATATGGCCAATACCAACTTGATTTCTGGCACCATACATGGAGATTCGTCTGTCAGGGGAAACTCCTGACCACAGATCCAGGAATAACCCTTGAGCTCATTTCTAGTCCAAAACAAAACAAAATAAAAGCTTATAAAACTGTGTTCTAATCCTTCATTTCCAGCAAGATAACCAAATGCCTCAAATTCATTTACAAATGAATTTGATAAAAAAAAAGATAAAAGAATTAGATAAAAGAAATCTAAAGCAGATGAAATTAGCCCATCTCATAGCCTAGGGCAGGCATGACCAGCTGAGTCACACTGCTTTAGGATTATTTAGCTCTACTCTTTGTTTCAACAATAAAAAATCTTGCAAAACAGCTGGCAAGTGAGACAGAGGAATCCAGAAAGTCTTGGCATCTTTCCCAACAACATAACGGGTTTTGGGGAAGAGACTTGTGAGTGCGTGCTCCATGCATGCCACCACCAGGGAGAGGTCCCAGTTCATGAAGGTCTCAGTGGTTTTCAGTTTGTCTACACCTGTAAAAAGGAGACAAGAAACTGTTACTCTTTGGATGAAGGGTGAAAGAACAGTGTGAGGCTAAGGTGTGAAGGGGAGGAAGCACTGTGGACATTATGTTCAATTTGTTATCATCATTGAGGCCCATGATGATGATATTTCATTTATTCCTCAGAAAAGGAGGCAGCAATGTGTCTCAGATTTGAGTGGGTAGCAGAATCTCATTGGGACCATGACAAAATCCAAGCTATTGGTCTCCACTCTGATATCTAAGACAACTGTGAAATGGGGCCTAAGAATTGCATTTTTGATCAAATTTTAAGTTGATGCAGTTGGTGCTGGTCCAGGGAGCAAAATTGAAAGCAAGGAAAGAAATGTACTTCATGATTTATATAAGTTCTGTAAACCCAGAAAAAATTTGGGTTTGGTTCCTAACTTACTTGAAGGGAGTATTGTGTTTGGGGGAAGTGTTGGTGCATGGGTGTGCCCTCAAGCCATATTCCTTGTAATTCAATGAATAACGAGGAATTCATCTCCAAATATCTGACTTGGGAATTTAAAAGTATCCTAATTTTCAGGCAATTGAAATGATTGAGGAATGAATTGAGATACTTTTCACGATGCAGGTATTTTGGCTTACAGCATCCTGCTTTTGCTCTTAAAACATACTAGGTAGTTTCTTTTCAAGGGAAAATGTACAATTTAAATATTTATTTCAACTTCAAACCCCACTTGCCCTAAGTTTCTTGAAAAGCCTTACCTAATAATAAGAAATAAGGACTGGTCACACTTTTATTTTGGTTTTTGGCCAGCCAAGATGTGGGGGCTAGGGGGGCTACTCCCACCTCTGTACTTGATAATTTCTTCTAGTGGTGCTCAGGGACCATGTGGTACTCAGAATCACTTCTCCTCTTCTTGCATGCAGTGAATCTCTTTCACTTTATAGTAGCTACTTTGAACTTTTACTGCATTTATGCTATACTTTCCAGTGAGCCTAGCTGAGCCTCAAGTCTTTTTTGTTTTTTTTCTGTTTTTTGGGCCACACCCAATGATGCTTAGGGATTCCTTCTGGCTTTGCACACAAGAATTACTTACCCCTGGTGGTGCTCTGAGGAGCATATATGTTGCCAGGGATCAAATCTAGGTTGGCTGCATGCAAGGCAAGTGCCCTACCCTCTGTACTATTACTTGGGTCCCTGAGGCCTAAATCTTATATTAAAAAATTCTAATAGAACAATTGCAGCAAAATTGGGCTCCAGGCCTTCTGAAACAGAACACTTGTTTCAGGGCCAAAATGAAGAATAATTTTGAGATGCAAGAGCAATATTTATCCAAAGGAATTTGCAAAGTATTTATGGCAATGTCAAACAGAGAAAGCATTTTTTAAGTGAGGAATTTTATTTCTGAACCTACTAGAATCAGCAGCATAGGTGAGTGCAAGTGAGTGATTAATAGCTCTCTGTGGTGGTCATTGTAAACTGATAGAGGCTTGTTCTGGTCTCCACCTCTGAAGCAAATGGTGCTGGTCCAGGAAGCAAAACTTAAGGCAATAAAGGAAATGTACTTCATGATGTCTATAAGGTCTGTAAGCAGGGGAGCTTTTCCATCCTCCCCCATGTGCTGGCAGGTTTCTCAAACCTCACGTTCTAGTTGATATAGAAGACCATGTACCTCTTGCTTGTGTGTGTGTGTGTGTGTGTGTGTGTGTGTGTGTGTGTGTATGTATGTAGTTGGGTTGGTGGCTGGAAGGATCAATCATTTAAAAATCCTCCCCCAAAAGCATATGACTTGACTCTTGGCTCCACCTTGAAAACTCCTGATCTTGTACCCACACTCACTTACTGTCTAACCAAGCTCATAAATGAAGCACGACCATAGCAAGGTCTGAGGGACAGAGGTTGGTGGGGACCTGATTGGCACATACTGGGAGATCAGTTAGTGAACAATTGCGACTCAGACTAATCAGGACTAGAGAGTTTGAGACGTTGGTAAAGCACTTACACAGGAAATTCTACCAGATCCCTAATGCCTTTTTTACATTATACTGTGGGAACCCTAAGCAAAAGGCCAGGCTAGGATGCTTGGGTGCAAATCTCACTCTCCTGCTACCTGTTACCAGCTATGCTGCTTTGGTTTTTTATCTCTGTGCCTCTATTTCTAAAAATTAAGAGATATCTCTACCTCAGAAGACTTATTTGGGCATTTTAAGTAGGAATCACTTAGAATGGTGACAAGCACATGGTAAATGTCACACTACGTTAATCATCATAACTTGATATTTAGCATTAGTCATTCATCCATGACTCAGTCTGACTTATGTTGCTTTTTCCTTCTATGCCTCCGATGCATTCCTGCTCCAGGAAGTTTCCACCCAATCCTTCCCTCCAGTTCTCTAGAGCTTATTCATACCAATTTGTTCCATACAAATTTCTTTATTAACAACGATATTTTCCTATCTGGATTTATTGGGCAATGATTCCACACCTTCTAGGATGGTGAATTATGTTTAAGAAGTAAAGGATCAATGTTCTAGCTTGCTATTCAGTCTCATTGTTTTATAGTTGTGCTTGGTTACTTTTGTTGTTCGCTAAGTCAAATAAGAATTGAGGACAAGAGTTAGAATCTTTATATTTTGTAGTCTCCACAAATCTCAGCAATATTGAGTTAATAGTTGGTACTTACTAAGGATAGGATGCATATGCAGAAATAAAGACCATGGGCTTCTGTCCATATATACACACACCTGGTCTAAGATTTTGGATGTTTCCAAATCTCTGCTAATCACTACAGCTCTTAGTCTAGAACTTGGGATGTTATAAATATTTATAAGTATCTCAGAGAAGCAAGATAATACTAGAATGAAGAGGAATCATTGATGCTTGACTCAGTGCTCTAGTGTAGTGGTTTAGTGCTTTTACCCTGTAGTACAATTCTCAGATTAGCAATATTTGAGGGCTACCAAGGTTACACCTGATCGTGCTGGGGTGGGCCAATAATAGAGAGGTATGCAGTGCTAGGGATTGAATGAAAGACCTCACACCTGTTAGGCATGTGCTCCGCCACTTGAGCAATCTTGTCCCAGAACCTTATTTTTAAATTTATGTTTGCTGGACAGAGCCATAGTACAGGTAAGGTTTTTGCTCTGCAAGCAGCTGACCCGAGTTAGATTCCTGGCACCTCATGTGATCCCCTGAGCACTGACAGGCATGATCCCTGAGCCCAGAGTCAGCCCTGAGCCACACCAGGTGTGGCACCCAAACCAAAAATTAAATAAAGGAAATTTATGTTTACTCCTTTATGCATGCAAGACAATAAATTCCAGAGGACTCTGAATTCACCCACAAACTCACTTTTTGCAATGTAATCTTCTCCATATTGTTGTTTGACATCTGGTGATAACTGTTTCCAGAGGGAAAGCTTTTTTCTAATGGACTCTGCTGGATCAGACAGTCCTGTTTTGAAAATTCCTGGTTCAATGCATGAGACATGTACACCAAAAGCTTTCATGTCCAGTCTGTGGAAGAAAAACAACAACAACATAACAATATTGAAAATGTTTAATACAGGTCTGGTTACCTAATATGTGCTAATTGGGTGACCATTTACTTCATTTCCTTGGGAATATTTCCATGAAAACGAAGAATTAGGTTCATTAGAAAGGAATTTCTTGTTCTTCCCTATTGTTTTGCAGAGAACAATGAAGTGAAGACAGTGCAGAAAGGGCTAGGGTAGTGGCAGAATAGGAAATGGATTGATTGGATCAGCTGGACTCCAGTGTTCTCCCACTGCCATATTTTCCTTAGGCTACCAAGTACTCTGGGTCCAGACAGGTTTCTTCTCTGTGCTTAAGGAACATGATGGTGTAATAGGTTAATGATTGGCCTGGTTGAACTAGTTAACCTCCATTCTAGTAATGAAGATTGCATTACAATTGGGGATGGCTGAAGGACATAGTGTGACAGTTCCCATTGTAAATGATCTGCTCCTGATGGTGCTCAGCTGTTACAACATGACACCGCATTAAACCAAAAGTCTTTTTATTCACTAGGTAACAGGTTATAGGGGTTTCTTGGTGCCCATTATTAAAGCAAAACAGCATATTAGGAACCAGGATATGAATAATGATGGCCTAAGTTAATTTCTACTTTCACCAGGAATATTCATTTTACAGAAAACATCTTCATAAGATGATTAAATTCCCTACCTTTGAATTTTAAATGTGATTCAATTTATCTTAAGTTCTATTTTCTAGCAATTTCCTATTGTTTAATTTTAAGTATTTTCATGAAAAATGCAAATTATCTTGACCTTGAGAGATTTTAAAAGGAATACTGCTTGCATTAAAATAAAATAGGTTGTTTTCAATTTAATTATATTTTAGTTACTCATCATCTGATCTCATTTGAATTTCAAAAAGTAACAGTAGAGTTAACCTTTTAGCACTTCAGTGGAAGACTTTTTTCCTCACTCATTCATGAAAGTAGCATCTAATTGCAGGATAAATGGCTTTAAGTCAGTCAACAAAACTTGTCAGGTAGGTACAAAAAGTATAAAACCATCATACTTGGTTGGAAAATATAAATCTAAAAGAGTTACAGCTTTCTTTTGATTGATACCCCTAAACCCTTCCATTGCTGGTTGCTGCCATTGAACGATAATGCCTGTTGTACAACACCATTTCTATCATCAGCTGCATGATTCAGAAAGAAGCACTTCTTATTGATTTCACTAGGTATACTTTCAGGTGTAGTATACCTAGTGCATTGCAAATCTCACAGGGCAATCAAGGGGACAATGGAGAAACTCAGGCCTATCCCAGAACCCTGAACCAGAATTTGCTCTTTTATATGATTCTCCAGTGATTCCTATGCACATTAGTGTTTGAAAAACATTGTTTTATAGTTAAAAATGATCACTTTCAACAAGAATTGAGAGCTGAAATTAGGTAAAGGGATATACATAATAATCTTTCAGTAACTGCATTGCAAACCATAATGCCAAAAGGAAAGAGAGAGACAGAGAGAGAGAGAGAGAAAGTGAAAAAAGAGAGATAAAATGAGAGAGAGAGAGAGAGAGAGAAAGAGAGAATAAAAGTGTCTGCCAATAAATTAAAAGGAAAAACATTGTTCTAATATTGTGTTTATTTCTTGTAAGAACCAAACCAGGCAACATAAAATGGCAAAATGGAGTTGCTCTATCTCTATTAATCTCAGTGAAATAATATGACATTTCAGTAGCAGCCTAAACATACATCGATGGTATAGATCATAACTTGTGCCTCCAATAATTATGAGTTGATTAAATAAAATGAATAACAATAATAATAATATTAAATATAATTTTGTTTCTTTTTATCACAAACATCTTCTGTTTGCCCTCCTATCTCCTTCTCTCTCCCGAGAGACCCTGAGAGACTAACCTGTATTAATTATGTTTTCATATCTTTGGGTACAGTATATTTGGAGACCAGTGTTGAAAAAACTGAGTCATTATTCCTCCTGTCAGTTCATTTTCTCCCTTAACTCCCTTAAGGAAGACAGTTTGTATGTATTCAGGTGTGAAAATTGCCCTTTCTTGTTGTACATTTATTCCTATGGATTAAAGGTTTCTGCTGTCATTCAGCTCCAGACATCACACTGCTATTGATAATTTCCCTACATTACTTCGACATTTGTGTATCCTTCTTTACCATCCATTTTCTTTTGGGATACACCCAACTGTGATCGGGGCTTTCTTACACCTGACTGCTCAAGAATCATTTTGGCCCTACTGCGGGCCTATATTCAGTGCTGGGGGTCAAATAAATGTCAGCCACATGCCAGACAAGTACCATAACCCCTGTACTGCCTCTCTAGTCCCTATGTGCCCAATTGTAATCTGCCTCTATTTCTTGCTAGGATGTTTACTGATGGAATCACTTGCAATTTAGGAATTTCAATCTGATAGTGATGGGTCTTGTTTTAGTGAAACAGATTACACAAACAGGCACACAAACCTCTGTTTCCTACTGAACTACAAGGTAGGTGCAAAAATTATTAAAGAGCTGCTGCCAATCCTGGACTGAATGTATCCAGCAAACTTTTTAAGAACTCTCAGTGCACATCTGTGGTATATAAAGTAACAGAATGGGAGATTGACACCCAAGAATAGTAGAGTTAAGGACTAGGAGTTTACTCCATGGCTTGGAAGTCGGCCTCAAATGCTGGGGGGAAAGGCAGATCAGAGAGAGAAGGGAACACCGAGTAAAGGGTATCTGGAGGACTAGCTTGGGTTGGGAGATGCGACCCAAATGCAGCTATAGATAGGACATGATGGTCACTCAATGCCTCTGGTGCAAACTACAACACCCAAAAGGAAAGAGAGAACAAAAGGGAATGCCCTGCCTCAGAGATGGGGTGGTGGGGCATGGGGTGGGGGTGATGGGAGGGATACTGGGATCATTGGTGGTAGAGAATGGGCACTGGTAGAGGATGGGTACTCAATCATTGTATGACTGAAATGCAAGCGTGAGCTTGTAAGTCTGTAACTGTACCCCATGGTGATTCACTAATTAAAATTAAAAAAGAGCTTTCAGTGTAAATGTTAAAAAACAAATGGGAGGAGAAGATCAGAGTTTGAACCAACAGTATGTTTCTTATTTTACTCCCACCCTGAGCCCCCTATTTTGTACTCAAATTAAATACTCAGAAGTGGAAGGAAAAACATCATTTACAAATAGAGATGTCATTAGGATAAGCCCATTTTCTGAGCTAGAGGCTATGCTAGGCGAATTCAAATTTCAGGAAGAATCGGGCAAATTCCTATTTCTTAAATTATTTTTTATTTTCTTGTTATTTAATAGTCCAGTTTTCAGGTAACTTTGCGACCATGGCAGTGGTGGTAGCCACAGAAAAATGAGTGCCTGTAGTTGCCTAAATATCTGAAAGAGGGAACCTTCCTTTTTAATAAGAGTTACTATTATTTTAGTTTAATAAGTTTAATAAGTTTAATAAGATGACGGGAAGAAACTCCATTGTTTTTTGTCTTTCTCCCATCACATGACTAGTCCATTCCTTGGTCTCTTTGGGAAGAAGATGGCAATTGGAGTAACTTCTAGTTGGAGGGTAATCTCAAGGAACAAGAAAAAATACAGAGGGTTACAGAGAGGGAGGCAGGGAATGCAGCATAACATCGTGCACTGTACAGTAGACTGTGTGGCCCTGACTTAGAGAATTAATTTTGAGACAGATTGTCTTTCACATCCAGGTTACCATTTGGTGTTGCAAAAGTGGAAAGACAGGAATAGTATTGTGGAATCTTTGCTCATGGAACTGCCTTCCACAGAAGGATGGGTAAATAAATGGTCTGAACAAATGTCTACTGAAATACAGATATCACATTCTCCACATTTATCATAGAATTTTAATATGATCCAAAGTTACTGCGCTGTATAGCACTGTCCTCCCGTTGTTCATCGATTTGCTCTAGCAGGCACAAGTAATGTCTCCATTGTGAGACTTGTTACTGTTTTTGGCATATTGAACATGTCACAGTTAGCTTGCCATCTTTGCCATGCGGGTGTGATACTCTTGGAAAATATTTAGCATGCAATATTAATTACTTGGCACAAAAATGCTAGGAATATCTCTTTTTTTTTGGCTTTTTGGGTCACATCTGGCAATGCTCAGGGGTTATTTCTTGCTTTGAACTCAGAAATTACTCCTGGCGGTGCTTGGGGTACCATATGGGATGCTAGGAATCGAACCCGGATTGGTCGTGTGCTTGGCAAACACCCTACACACTGTGCTATCGCTCCAGCCCTGAATAGCTAGGAATATCTTAATGTGTTACAAAAGACAATGGATGGATGTCAATGTTGAGGAAATACAAATGTTTTAAACATCAGTCTTTAAAACTGCTATTAAAAAAATGTTCTAAGATGTAAAGAAAAACACTCTTGAAGTGAATGTAAAGTTAAAAAAACTCGGAAAAGATTAAAACATTATAAAGAGAATCAAATGATATTTCACACTTGAAAAACGCAAACACCAAAATGAAATATTTATTCATTGGATTCAGTAGTAGAATGGTGCTGGAAAAACTCAGTTGATGTGAATGCAGAGCACTAGAAATTGTCCAATGTAAATTTCAGAGAGAAAACTGTTTACAAATTGATAAGAGCCTTAGAAATCCAAGGGACAAAACTAAAGGCCCAATATTTAGAATTCTATAAAGAGAAGATAAAGAATAAGTTGTATAAAATAGGTTTGATACAAAAACTGAGAACCCTCAAGCCTGGCAAAAAGCATGACTATTAGTCAAAAAGCTTACTACCTCAAGTATTTTAAATTCCCCCAAGTCCATGTCTGAGACTAGTGAATCAAGAATTTTTGCTAAACTGGTTCTTTGTTTTGAGCTCTAAAATTCCACCAGCAAAATCTATGTAATCAATGTAATCTCCAATAGCAAATTCTTCACCTCTGATTAGAACCTTCTTGCTCTGACTTTTATTTGGAAGATTCTTTTTCTTTTTCTTTTTTTTTTTTTTTTGCTTTTTGGGTCACACCCAGCGATTCTCAGGGGTTATTCCTGGCTCTGCACTCAGGAATTTCTCCTGGCGGTGCTTGGGGGACCATGTGGAATGCCGGGGATTGAACCCAGGTCGGTCGCGTGCAAGGCAAACGCCCTACCCGCTGTGCTATCGCTCTGGCCCTCTGAGTTTTATTTGGAAGCAGAGGGACCATCAGAGAAAAACTGTCTTTTTTGGTCCTGTTTTTTCCAGGGGATGGGGTAGGGAGGTTTCTTAGAGGCATGGAGATTTGCTTACAGATTTTAGAATTGATGGAAAAAAAACAGCCATAATTTTGTGACAATTACATTTATCTTTCAAAATAATTTCTACTGAAGGTTTAGATGATGTGGTACTGTTGTGTTTACAGTCAGCAGTAACACCAATGGGGAGGCTTACCCTGATTTAATTTCTCTGATTTCTTAGCTGTTTAACAAATGGACATGTTGAATACAAATTTGTTGCCTCTCTCAGCATCATACATCAATGCGAAGAAGTAAAAGAACTTAGACCTCAGTTCAAATGCAGCTCTATCACTTTTCAGCTGGTGACCAGGGGCAAGATACTTTATCTTTCTTAGTTTCAGCAGTATCATCTATAAACTGGGAATAATTTAAAGCACTAAACCAAGTGTCTTCAATAAATGTTAGAAGCTAGTATTTCCTAACGTGACAATGTTCATTTTACCTTAAGCTGTCATTGAAGCCTTCTACTGCATATTTGGATGGGACGTAGCCCCCTCCGCAGAATGCAAGCCGACCCCCAACACTGGAGACATTGACAATCCTCCCTCGAGCTTTTTTGACCAAGGGAAGCATATTTAGTGTCACATTGATGAGGCCAAAGAGGTTCACTTCGATAGGTTCTCTGAAGTCATTCACTGTCAGCCAGTCAGTGGGAGCCAGAACCCCGAGAATGCCAGCGTTGTTGATCAGACCCCAGAGACCTACAAGAGAGAGGAAGGAAGGGAAGTGTGGCAGAAGGTGCTGGGTACTCAGGCTTCCGTAGCAGAAACAACACTTGCTTTGCACAATGAAGCCATATTTTCCTTGAGTACCACTTCTGCTTTGAAACACTTGGCAGTTTGGGGAAAGTGTTAGTGGAGAGGGTGGCAGGCTCAGATAAAAATCGTTGAAGTTCTGTTACTGTAAACTCTCTCACACTTAACTTTTTTTGGTTCTCAATGTCAAGTACCAATCCTGTCAGAAAGAGACTTTTTGTGTTTTAACCTCACATGTGGATTGAATGAATCTTTTTTCCCTACACTAAATCACAGTGCCAGAAAATATTTGTCAACTTTTCTCTATGAACAAAGAACAACACCAATCTACTTTGCATTTATTTACATTTTAGTGTGCTTTGGGGTCAAACTTAGCGGTGCTCAGGACTTACTTTTGGCTCTGAGCTCAGGAATAACTTCTGATATTGCTGATGGAACCATATGTGGTGCCAGAGATCAAACCCAGGTCAATCGTGTCCAAGGTAAGCACTCCGCATGCTGTTATTGCACTCACCCACTAATAAGTTGCTAGTATTTTGTTAAGGATTTTTGTATCTATGATCATCAGTGTTATCAGTCTGCAGTTCTTTCTTTTTGTATCAGGGTAATGTTTGCTTATTTTATTTAAAGTTTATTTTTGGTAAAAAGTGTAATCTTTCACTTGGCTTATTTGATGGGGGAATGAAGTGCTCAGGAATCCTGGGGTCAGAATCCTGTGATTCTTTGTTTATTGAGCCAGCAGGTAATGAGGGCCAGAGAACATGGGATTGTTGGGATCCTCCATGGGGGCTGAGGTGGTAATCATGTGATGCTGGGATTGAACCATGTCAGCCAGATGCAAGGCATATGTGTTAATGCTTGTTTACTATCTCCTCAGTCTTCACTTGGCAAATTTTATTGTAGAAAATACTTAATATCATTAAAGATAAATATTCAAGCATTTGAAATTATCTGGAGTCATCAAATCATTGATTTCAAGGTTCAGAGTCCCAACTATATGTTGAAGATGTGATTTTAAAAAATCGTAACACTTTTTTCTTTGTGAAAATATCTTCACCCATGGGAATTTTTCAGATTTTGTCCAAGCCATGAGAAGACCAGTCATTCAGAATGCAGTCATGTGAATAGAACTTAAAACAGAATGACTGTCTGATGGCTCCAATTCAACCATAAAATACCAGTATTCAAGTTCTCAGTCCATTTTTTTAAATAATATAGGAGTACTGCTAGTTGTTTAGCCATTGATTAAGCTGATTGAATTGGACATGAACTCCACATTATTTTTTTTTTAAATTGTATCACTGTGAGATAGAGTTACAAAGCTTTCATGTTTGAGATTCAGCCATCCAATGATGGAACATCCATTCCTCCACCAGTGTACATTTTCCACCACCCACATCCCAGTCCTCACCCTTCCTCTATGGCAGACAATTTCCCCAATACTCTCTCTATAATTTTGGGCATTATGTTTTTTCCTATAATAACATTTTAATTAAAATTTAAGTGAGACTGTGATTTTAAATATTTAAGAGACCTTAAAATACGTATCCAAAGTTCTATAAGCACTCAATTACTAATACAAATATAACCAAATTTGAAAGAAAAATTTACAAAAAATTTGTGTGCTGTGTATAGTGCCAGGGATCAAATACAGAGCCTGATATATGCAAGGCAAGCACTCTACCAATGAGCTACACCCCCAGCTCCCCAAAGACAGGAACTTAATTCATCAAATTACCATGAGCTATCCACCAGATAACTTTCTGTGAAGAAATTACCCCATTCTATTTAACAGAATTTCCTGATTTGCTTGAGATCAAATTTGTCATCCAAATAAAACCCAATACAGAGATAGTCATGCATGGAATTTATTGTGTGCTACTGTTTGTAAAATACTCTAGTAGTCCTGCACATGCCTAATATTTCCAACTTAGATGGGAGACCCTAACAGGGTACACTTTCTGGCAAACAAAACAATAGAATGGTTCCGCTGCCTGGAGCTCTGAGTTGAGGGCATTATGTTTTTGCTCAAAATTTCCCAACACCATTCAAGCCTACCTGCCAGGGGCAGACGTTAGATAATTTATTTTCCATTGCTCATTTTGAATATCATGAGAGCTCATATGGCCACAATTGTAAATGTAAATTTCTAGATTGTAAATGGTTGGATTCCAGAGACATCTCTGTATGACACTAATCCATTTTGGAATTCAATTGGGAGTCTCTGGGTCAGGGCTGTTGGTGTACTAATATGGCACCAGGAGGCAAATTACGAGTGTGATAGCCAGTCTACTGGGTGGGCAGGGCCCTAGGGAGGGGAGGGGCAGTCCAGCTCCTCTGCCACCATGTGGACTGGAGATTCAGTCCTGGAACCCGCATACGGGGGGGTGGGGGTTACTTGTGGAAGATCTTGGTTGCCGGGATTCCATTTGGAATATCTCAGGCCATTTTTGCCCTCTCCCATTGAAAGAAAAATTTGTAGTGGACAAGGTGTCTCAGGTATTCAGATAGTAATTGAGTATTGCTCTTGTTATTTTATAAATTTTAGCTCCCATTGTCTTTTTGATGTATTTGTGGCTGAAGCAACACTTCACAGGAGATGACCAGGAAAGTAAATATCTCCATCTCGGCTCTAAGTCCACCCACTGAGACTTAAGACTGAAGATAACTTGCCTATGCCTCTCATGCACACAGAGAGATTGCAACTTGAAACAACTCAGAAACTATTCCATGATTTCTCTAATCGTGTCTAGAATACCACAGGATATTAGGAGACATTCTCTAAAGACTTTAAAATTAAACACCTTAGCTCTAATTATCCCACCAGAATGTCCTTTCTTCCCACTCTCAGGTCACTCACCCTTTTCCCCAACTTGGTTTTTCACCCACTGGGCAGTCCTCTTGACAGTTTCAGGGTCTGTTACATCCAGAAGCACTGTGTGAAGCCGTTCTGATGTTTCTGCCTTTAAAGCTGCTGATCCTGATTCAGTCAGACAGGCAGCTAAGACATGAAAACCTTTTTTATCAAAAGTTTTGGCTGCCAAATTTCCAAAGCCTGAGTCGCATCCAGTAATGAAAACATACTTATCAGTAATATCTGAAATTTTTAATTGTCCTTTATAATTCCACAAGAAGCCACAGAGGATGAGAAGGGCTAACAACCAAAACAGCATGTTTGTTCTTATGTGTGACAGAGACACTCCTTTCTTGAACAATTGGAGAATATATTGTCCTTCAAAATTAGAAGAAGATTCAAGTTAGAACTATTAAAACATTATAACTCAGGATGGAAGAACTTGATATTTTAATGCATTTAAGAAGATAAATCACTAATTGCATTAAAACATTAATTTATATTTGATTGGGAAAGTAGTTTTTTAAAAGCAAAGATAACTTTTGGAGCTGGAAAAATAGTACAGTGGGTAGGGTGCTAGCTTTCATACAGCCAAGCCAAGTTCAATCCTTGGCATCCCTTATGGTCCTGTGAGCACCACCAAGAGTGATTCCCTGAGCTCTGCCAAGTGTGTCCCTCTCCCTGTAAAGCAAGTAATGAAAAAGTAACCAGCTAATAGAGAAATTAATGGAAGAGAGATGGACCATAGTGAAGTTGACAGGGGTCTGAGGTACAATTGTAAATGGGATTTTTGAAAATCTCTCTCTCCCTCTCTCCCTCCTATTTTATTACATTTAGAAAAGCTGTGATCTTTTGTGTATTGATTTGTGTAGCCTGCTATTTCACTATACAAATATATTGTTTCTTTTTTCTTAATATTTTTTACTTTATAAAGTAGTTCACAGTATTTGGTTATATTTGATATACCAATCCCACCACCATTACATCTTTCCACCACCATATTTCAGGTGTTTCCATCCCAACCCCCAATCCCTGCCCCAAAGCAGAACTGAAATAATAAAAGGAATGGGGTACTTTTTCTAGTCTAACTATATCCCAAGGGTTGTCTGATTCCAAGTTTTTTTTTCTTCTTGGATCACACCTAGCGATGCTCAGGGGTTAAGTCCTGGCTCTGCACTCAGGAATTATTCCTGGCGGTGTTCGTGGGATCATATGGGATGCTGGGGATCAAACCGAGGTTGACTGCATGCAAGGCAAACACCCTACCACTGTACTATCACTCTAGCCCCAAATATATTGTTTCTAGTAGCTTTTTTGTAGAGTTCTTAAGGTTTTCTAAATATTTGTCATCTGCAAATAGTGCAAATAGTAAAAATTTTACTTCTTCCTTTTTCTATCAAGATAACCTTAATATCTTTTTTTTTCTTGTCTAATTTCTCTGGCAAGTACTTCCAGTGCTATTTTTAATAGAAGTAGTAAGAGTGGGCAACCTTGTCTTGTGCTTGATATTAAAGGGAAGGCTTTAGTTTTTCCCTTTTGAGCATACTGTTTGCTTTGGGCTTGTGGTAAATGGTTTTGATTATGTTGAGAAAAGTTCTTTCAATTCTCATTTTATTTATTTTTTATTATTAATGGTAATAAATCTTGTTAAATGCTTTCTATGCATCTACTAACATGATCATTTTATTTTTCTTATATTGATAGTTTTTCTTTGATTTTCATATGTTGAAACATCCTTGCATCCTTGGGAAGAATTCTACTTGGTCATGGTGTCTGATTTTTTATGAGTTGATGGATTTAATTTGCTAGTATTTTGTTAAGGATTTTTGTATCTATGTTCATCAGCGTTATCAGGCTGTAGTTCTCTCTTTTTGTATCAGGGTAATGTTTGCTTCATAAAAACTGGAATTATTTCTGTTTCTTTGATTTCCTGAAAGAACCAAAAAAGGATCAGCAGTCACTCTTCTTTAGAGGGTTGAAAGAACTCACTAATGAAAGAATCCACCTGGGCCTGTTCTTTTGTTTAGGGAAAGACCTTTGATTATTATTTTAATTTTCTCTATAGTGATATGTTTGTTCAGGTGTTCCATTTCTTCTTGGTTTAGCCTTGAAATGTCATAGGAGTCCAAGAATTTATTTATTTCTTCTAAATGCTCTCGTTTAGTTACCACTTGGTAAGTTTACCTCCACAATAACTGAAGAACAAGAAACTCAAATTAGATAGTCAGACTCCCTGTATCCTCCTTGTCTTCTGTATCTCCCCCTCAAACTCCTACTTCCTTCCTTTTCCTCCATACCTTCTTTTCAGTCCAGTGAGTAGCAGAGGGAAGCCTTTCAGTTATTAAGGATTGAGTCACATAAAAAATTGTGCTGTCCTCATTAGGTTTACCTCTGTCTCAAGGGTCATTTAGATGTTAGTACCCTGACCTAAATTTAAATCTCAGCATTTCCAACCTTGACCTAGAAACTTTCAGTGTGTCCTAATGCCAAAGATTGTTTCTTTTTCAAATTCTGGGGTTCACATTCCTTTAGATCATTAAAGAGATGGGTCACAAACTGACACATGCCTTTGACCATGAATAGTATTTTAACCCAAGAGAATGCCTCTGAATGGCAGTCCTTGGTCAGAATGATTACGAAAATGATCTACACAAGGAAGCTGATTGATGACCAAGGGGTTGTTGATCCTAGAGAAGTAAGTTACAGCAACTAATGGGGCTGCCTTAACTCTACTCTGCCCCATGTGGTCACTCCACATGACTGACTGCCTGCTCCCAAATCCAGGTATTCAGAGTATTTACCTCAGTTGCATAGACTTGCTCAGCTGTTTTCCAGTTTATCTTTCTACTGTGTATACTCACTCATGAGTATATAACAGTCTTTTCTTCATCCAGTGGCTGTGATATCATTAAAGTCATGAGTGGCATGAGGAAAACAGATTTTCAACGCCTTTGCTGCCATAAGTGTAAGGCCTTTGAACTGCTCATGAATATTTTTCTTGAGCCAAAATTATACTAGTCACCTAACCAGTAAAAATATAGGAAGCAAGAGCTAAGGCCACACACACACACACACACACACACACATACACACACGCACACACGCACACACACACACACGAAGCTATGCACACTATGTACATACTTATATACATACCAGTCATACACATATCACTAATACACACACCACAAATACACCAAACTCATGCACACACACTATTAAAACACCACACACCCAGATACACATGCACACACACACACACAGACCTCAGAATCAGGCAGGCTCAGAGGCTTAAGATTAGTATCTTGATCATCAGTGCGCCTATTATTTATGTTTTCTTTGCCTCCATTTCCTTATTGTAAAATAGCTACCTTGGAAAGAACCTGTTGAAATAAAGTAACTCACTGCCTGTCCTCAGGAAGATGATAAGAAGAAACTTATCAACATGATCAGTCATTTCCGTTCTGCTTTGGGCACCCCTCATATCTAGGACTGGGTGTCTCATGCTAAGGACTTGTTCTGGGCCTTTTGTCCTGGATAATGACTTGAGATGTGGGGGGAACTTGTTGTGCATATGCAGGAGGCTTAACTGGACCTCTACTCTCTACATACTGGAAGCTCTACCTGTTTCCATTATGATAACAAAAATGTTTTTAGTCTTTGTAAAATGTGCCCTGAGGGACCAATAGCCCCCCCAGTTGAGAATAACTTTCTGGAGCTTACTTGACTTGGTGGTCCAGGACATCACAGTACCCAGAACTGTTTTCCTGGAAACTCAGTCATTGGTTACTTGGTGTGTCATATTAATGAGAGTTTAATTTTTTTGGCTTAAAATATTTATTTTTAAAATTTTGGAAACCACACCTGGCAGTGTTCAGGAGATACGCCCAGATCTGTGCTCAGGAGCCACTCCCAATAGTGTTTGGAAGATCAAGTTGTGCTGGGAACAGCAGTTAGCTGTATACAAGGCAAATACCTTAACCCCTACATGATCTCACAGACCCTAGAAAAGTTTTGCTACATATGAATGTTAATTTTATTCTTTTGTAGTTAGCACTACTTTCTTTTTGTTGTTTGTTTGTTTTGTTTTGGGGCCATACCTGACTTATTCCTGGCTCTGCGCGCAGAGATCACTCCTGGAGGGCTTGGGGGAAACATATGGGATGCTGACTGTGCAAGGCAAGAACCCTACCTGCCGTATTATCTCTCCAGCTCTGTTAGCATTAGTTTCTAATATCGAACTAAATGTCTCTGTCATCAAAAGAATAAGAAGCAGGAAATAAAGACAAATTTGCATATAATATCACTGGTGAGTTTATAATAACTCAAAGAATTCTCACAATATTCATGAGGCCTAAATTTTGATTGAGAGTTTTGAATTGAAATCGCTTCAAGTTCTTTTGGGGTTTCTCTTTATTGGACATGCTCAGTTAGTTCAGTACAATTCAGTATAAATTACTAGAAAATCTACATCTCATGGATGGTCATTTGACCAGTTCTGGTAGGGAAGGTAACAACAACTGTGGTTTACTGAGTGCTTACAAGTTAGCCCATCTGCTAGGATTTATAAATATGCCACTTAAAACTCACAATAAAATAATCTCTGTTTTATATAAAAAAGGAGAAAATTCAGAAATGATTAACTGGTTCAAGATAAAATTTCTTAAAATTCAAGATACAATTTGAAATAATGGTGGTGGGAAGGTGTAATGGGTGTAAAGGTGGTGGGATTGGTGTTAAAATATTGAATGTAACCAATTAATGTGAACATCCTTATGAAAATAAAATTTAAAAAATTTTAAAAGGGTACAATTTCTTCTTGGACTGATCATATTGCAACTACTCCATCATATTCCGCCATCTATGCTTTAAATTTCTATTCTGTTCTTGAATCTACTGCCATCTGATTCACCTTCAACCCTGAGAGACTGGACTGTGGGACTTTTCTTGACACTACAGATGCCTTGTGTGTTACTTGGCATTTCATAAATAAAGCTTGTGAAAGAAAAGAAGAAAGAGAAGAACAAGAAAGAATTTCCAATGATCTCAGAATTTGGTGGTAACAGGATTAGTCTTTGAGTCTTCTGAATTATCAGGGGAGAAGAATGATGATAATTGTGATTACACAGGGAGCTTAGGTTTATTGGTTACACCCATCACAGTGCTCCTGAGCCACTCCCATTCCTCTGTATTTATCTGTAAACTCTTCTCTGTGCTCTCCTCCCCAATCGGCTAATCACCTTCTCTCCCTAATCAGATTCTGTTAGCTTGTAAGATCAGATCCTTCTAAGGACACTGAACTTGTATTGTAAATTATGTCTTTTACATAGTTTATCTTTAAGCAATGTCCTTTCTGTATGGACACAGGAAGACAGTTAATATTATGCTTTTGTAACTTGGGAGTTGATTGACTCAGAATAATATTTACTTCTGGGCATCTGCTTTCTTGACTCTCTTGTCCTTAGTTCCTAGCACCCCAAAAGCAGGGTCCCAACAAGGGACTGAATGGAACCAGGGCAAGTTGTAACCTATGCTGGCATCGAAATAGGCCAGGCAAAAGCGTCACTCAACTATAAGTTGAGGGCATGATCATAGACAAATGCTGTCATGATTCAAAGGTAACGATGAGACTAGGACCCTGCTGGGGCTAGGAAGACAAACCTGGCCTGAGGACTGCGGAATATATAGTGAGATGTCCTCAAGAAGAACCAAACTGTAAGTTTATATCTCTTACTCTGCTCATACAGAATGACATTGCTAGAAATATTGGAAGTAGATTTACTACAACTATTTAAGTAAATTACTAGCTGAGGAGAGAACACACCTTGTTGGGATCCCACCCTTGAGCGGATCTCCTAGTAATCTAGAGTAATCTCTTTAGATGAGATTTTATCCTTGAGTTAATCTCCTCAAAGAGTGGTCTTACCTTTCTTTGTTGATTTTTAATGTTCAACCCACCTTTGTGTCACCACCCTACATGATTGCTATATAAACTAAGACTGTAAGCTTAGAGAGCAGAGTCAGAAGTGAGAGAGGTGAGAGGGTCTCAGGCTTGAGAGAGAGAAGCAGAAGGGGAGTGAAGATTGGAATAAACTACAATTGATACAGACCAGCCTAGCCCTCATTCCTTCCTTTGCCTACCTATCGCCTTCCGCCTCCCCGGGATTGGGGAAGAGACCCGAGACCACCGAACGTGGGCAGCGAAAGAGATAGAATGCCGCCAGACTTTTGAAAACACACACAATTTAGGTCATTTTTTTTTGATGAAGCAAAGTTTTTATCGAAACTTATTTAAAAGATGTGAGGAGAGAGACAACCTGGCAGGCTACCGAATGTAACCTGCCCACACGGCAGAGTCTGGCAAACTCCCCGTGGCGTACCCAATATGCCAAATACCAGTAACAATGATGGGTCTCATTCTCCTAACCCTGAAAGAGCCTTGAATATGGCACTTTTTAAAATCTCATGGTAGGAAGAAGGAGACGTTACTGGTGCCTGCTTGAGGCATTCGATGAACAACAAAATGATGGATGATTGTGATCGTGATCGTGATTGTGAGGAGAGAGAAAAGGAAAAGTACTTGTTCAAGATAGAACACAGGATTCTCCAGATTAGAAATAGGCAAGCAAAAAACAGAGACAAGCAAGATATGTGTTCAAGGGAGAACAAGGGCTTGAAGAGCAATCGATAACTTAAAATCTTTAAGGTCTTCCAGGTTGGGACTGGGAATCTACAAGAGAAGTTAGAAGCACATGGGAGTCACTGGTTTAGTCCTGGGTACCACAGGGTATTGGCCTTGGCAGCTCCCAGCACTGCAGACCCTAAGTATTGGAACCTCTGATCTGGTTGACTCAGTATCACCAGAAATGGCTCCATGACCCCTTGGGCACTGCTTGGAATGTCACCTAATGCCCCCTCCCCAAATAATTTAAGTAATATTTACTACATTTCACTGTCACACTGCTTGTGTGAGCCAAGAAGTTATGCCTTATATGGTCGTTTGCTAGGCAACTGAACTAAGATTTGATTTCAGAGCCCTACATTGTGTGAAAAGAGGAGGGAGATCTCTAAAAAAATAAACAAGTTTCAGTCAATAAGAGGAATAAAATTACTTTGCAAACATTTTTTACTACGCCACAAAAATTCAAAGGAACAAGAAAGGAGAACTTTCCCTTTCATTTGTGGCATGACATTCTCAAAAATAACCTCCTTTCTACAGTAATAGGAAAATATTGCAACTTGATTGGTGGTTTTGCTTACTTCCACATTTAAAATTTTTCTCTTACAGACTGCTTCTCCTACTAAGTGGTGCAAAATAAGATCCTTTGATTTTACTTCTCCACTTTCTTCTGCTCTTAAAAATTAATGACACAGTTACAAACAAAAAGAATGGAAAATGGTGTATAAATGTTTTTGTGAATATAATTTTAAAATATAGAGTTCTTTCTCAATTCTATCTCCTTGGCAACTGAGCTATTTCTACATAATTCAACTAAATGTTTTATTTTAGACAGTAATACTAAACCTAGCTAATCACAATAATGGGGGTTTATAAAATATTTACTTATTTTTAACTTGTTGCAATCTTGGTTTAGGTTGAATCAACAACTAATTTGTTAGTCAAAATACATCAAATAGAAAGTGTTTAGCAACAACTTTCTAAAACACTCGTCCTGTGGTTTTCTTGTACTCATTTCCTTTATAGTAGCAACAGACCATACATGTGTATCTTTTGAACATTTTCCTATTGTAAACTTGCTTAACTGAATTCCTTTTTATTTTTAATGTTTTCTTGAAGCATGAAAAAATCTTTTTAAGTGGCCTTTTAAAAATTTCTGCTGCCTTTTTTTTTAAAAGATAAACAAGGATTTACACTTAATGTCACAAACTACATCATACGACCTTGTGGCTAAAAAGAAGTTCAAGTTGGTCTTCCTGCAACCTAAAGATATTTAAGAAATGGAGGAAATCCATTGGGATTCTTATTGAAAAATGAAATTCGGTGTCATCTTAACTAAAAAAATTAAATCAATAAATGCTCTCTTGGCAACTTGATAGCAATAACAACAATATTTGTGATCCATTACTGATACAGTGCAGATAGAATTAAATATCATAGAAACATAAATTCCCTCACTCAAGGACTTGGAGATATTTCTCCATTACCTATATGGCTGTGAATTCTGCTTCCTGTGGGAGGAAGATGGCCTGGAGTATCCAGCGTGTACTTTGTGTAGCAAGACTGTGAGGCATGTATTAATGGGATCTTTCTCTGGCAACTCATTCAACCATTCCCCTAGCAGAGTTCTGTCAGCCTTCTCTTCACCAAGGAAATATCTGATGAATTTATTCTGTCAATATTCAGTACTATGGATAGAAATATATCTGCCTTCCTTTTGCCTCCTCTCAAAAAAATTAAATTTACCATAAAATCCATAATTGCAAATTAATTAGATGCTGTCTTCTAGGCTGACTACTTTGCCAATATTGTCCCTGACAGTAAGTATTCAAGGTCATTGTAAAGCCTTGGGTATTTGACTTCTGGCCTCTGAATAAATAAAAGTTGCTAATAGCATGCTATTTCACCTTTCATATAGTTATAGTAAGAGATATGAGGCTTCCAAGAAAACTTGAAAAATTGGGCAAATGTATATCTAGATACACGTTGTCTATTTCTTTCAGCTGTTGTTACTTTGAATGAGATATTGAAGTTCATAAAGAAGATGCCAGAACAAAGGAACATGTATTATAAGGAATTCAAGACCAATTCCCATTTTCCCTCATTAGAAATGTGTGAGAATGATTTTTTCCTTGTATTTAAACATGTATGTTTGTTCTAAATGATGAACACATTTTCTAAATCTCAATGAATGTCATACAAATGTGACATAATTCATTTCTTACAGCCATCTATCCAAAAATATTCTTTGAGAACCTAATATATGCCAGTGGATATTTCCTATAACACAATCCTTACTCTGATACAGGTAGTGTAGCAGGGAATTTTAGAACTAATTACAACCCTGTTTTATTTATTCACTTCAAATTTTTGAAAAAATCAAACAAGCAATTCTTAGAGAGAGCCTCATAAAGCTTCTAAATAGGGCTGCCAGGCGTAAGAGCAGGGAAGTCCTTCTCCCAACTTTCTGCCTTTCCTGCTATTGAACAGTTAAAATGAAAACAGACTTTGGACTTGAAGTTCCCTGTAGAATGCTAGCCTCTGGATTATAAATTGAAGAGTACATGTAGAAATAAATTTTATTGCAGCTATCTCAATTTCCAGTAATCAAATTGCACTGTGTGATTAAATTTCTTGCTTCCTTATAGGCTTATAACACCTTTTCTCCCACTTGGTTAAGTGTATGTGTGACCACCCACCCACATAGGCATCTGATACTACTGGAAAGTCAACAGATAAGACTTACAATGAAGAGAAAAATTGCTGTCTAGCAAGAAACACAGCTGAGATGTTTATCTTTTTAGACTTTCCCACTTCAGTTTCCAACTAAATGATATGATTCACAGAAGACATCAAATAGTTATAGAAAAGCTAGATATAGATTTAATTGTGACTCTAGGCTACTAAAGAACACTAGAGACCAGGGAGATTGTAGCCAAGTTTCCCAGTAACAGATTATTTCTGGGGTGAAATAAGCCCAGTGCCCACCACCTGCTTTTTAAAATATATACTTTTAAACAAGTAGCAACAGTTGACCACAGTTTCAAAACAACAACTTCAAGAATAATTTTATAAACATGAGGAATATCAAAGGCAATTGAAAAACTGACATGAGAAATGAAGAACTAGAGGGCCAACCCAGTCCCTGGTTACCTGAGTATGAATGGATTGGGACGCAAATGTTGTGACTTGCTGCCAGCTGTGCCAGGGGAAGGAAGAGTTGTGTCAGGCTGACTGACCACACTGATCCTCTTGAGGAGGAGGTGCCAGCTTCTGTTGAGCCAGCATGTGTGAGGACTCACTCTGTGAGTCAGTCTTTTTGTGGCACTGGGCGGAGACCAAATCTCTCTTCAATGGATGGAGTTGTGGGTCATGTGTTTCCAAAGACTTTGCCCATATCTTTTGTGAATGTAGTCTAGTTTAGAAGGGGCTTAAAAATTATCAATACCTTTTTTGTTTAAAATATTTTATTAAATCACTGTGAAATAAAGTTACAAAGTTGTCCATGATTTGTTTTCAGTCATACAATGTTCTAACACCTGTCCCTTTATGGGTGTACATTTCCAACCACCGAAGAGACCAGTATTCCTCCTTCCACTCCCCACTCCAGTCTGTCTCTGTGGCAGATACCACCCCCCCCTCTTCCTCTCTCTGTTTTGTCATTATGGTTTGTGGTACAGGTACTATAAGGTTATCATTTATATCCCTTTACCTACTTTCAGTACTCAACTATTGAATAGAGTGTCATTTCCAGCTATCATTATCACAGTGGTCCCTTTTCTATTCCTTCCTACTCTCCCTTTCCCACTTGTGACAAGCTTCCAACTGTGGATCAGTCCTCCTGGCTTCTCAATACCTTTTCTTGAATAGTTCCTATAGTCTCATGATCACATTTAGCTGCTGACCTAGTGTGACTTGGGAGCATTTGATAACTGCCTCTTTGCATAGCTTTAGTTGCTTGACTTTTGAGTAGTGTTGATTGTTCATGATCTCTAGATTTTGTTTTCCATTTTTTTTTTAACATGACTGCTAATTTGGCACTTTCCTCTACTAAGAGACTAGGTAAGGGTTGTTAATCTCTGACAATTTTTTATTTTTATTTCAAGAAAATGAAATAAAAATCTCTGACAATTTTTTATTTTTATTTCAAGAAAATGAAAGAATATGGTGACATATGTGATGAACTTATTCATAAGCTTAAACTTGGTCTTAAGGAGATTTTGCTGAAGTGGTGTCTGAAATGAGGCCACTGGGAAGGAAGACCCCTTTCTTCCCAGAGTCTGTTTCCTAGTTGATTGCATAGAGGCTAAAGGTGATGAGGGTGCTTATATGCACAAGATCACCCACAATCACTTCCTCCTGGGGCACAGAGATAGCACCTATCTCCTCTGTTTAAGTTCTGTTTCTCCAGAGACCAGTGGTTTCAAAGACAGATTTTTCAGACTTCTGTTTTTCTTCTTTGTACAATTTAAAATTTAGCTGGGCTGAGTTGAGAGAAGAAACTTATCTATCAAGGAAAAAAATGTAGACATTGGTATATCTCTTTAAATTAAATGGGCATCTTTTTCCTTAAAATTAATAAAAGGAGATGGAAAATTACTCAAAGATTTTGGGAGAAATATTGTGTTATATATCTTTTCCCTTTTAACATTCCACAAGCATCAATAAGACACATCATAAAACTTTGTAGGGAAATAATTCAATGACTTAAATCCATATGAAGGAGAGTATAAATAATTGATATTGGGTTCTTCCTGCAGGTAAGGTACTATTACTCAGAATTTGAACATACTGATATCTGGGTGGTCATGGAGAAGAGGCAGCAAAGGGCAAAGAATAAGCTGTTAACAACAGTAAGCTTTGCTGACCCTATAATCTTTCCCAGTGCAGTCCTTAAAAACACGCACAACAACACCACCCCAACCCCCAGAAAAACAACCCAAATTCCAAATAGATTTTTAAAGTGCACGATTTGGGTTAGAAAGATAGTATCATGGATAAGGCACTTGCCTTGCTTGAGGCTGAACAGGGTTAGATATCTAGTACCCCATATGGACCCCTGAACCTGCCAGAAGTGATCCCTGAACAGAGCCCGAGGAAGCCCTGAGCACCACCATGTGTGGGTCCAAAACAAAGCAAAAGAAAATAATAAATTGTCAAATCTGATTTACATATTGAGAATCAGAGTTTAGTCCCTCTGTTTGAATCCTTCTATTCCAGTGGAACCTGTTCAAGTAGCCTCGGTACCAGGGTTGTAACACTTGATCCCTCTGTCTTATTGAGGCAGTCACATCATGAGATCATTTGTCCACAATTCCTTAACCAAAAAGTAGTCATATTTGCATTCATATTTCATATTCACATTCAAATTTATATTTGCATCTTAAATACCCAGTTCTTTCCACTCCTTAGTAAAACAGCCACTTTGTTCAGAATGCTCCTTACATCAGACTTCTGGTCATCAAATATGATATAAAAATTCAAAACCAAATTGTGACTACTTGTTTTTGATAATATCTTTTTTAAAGGGAAAAATACACTGTGGATTTCATTCTAATGTAAATTTTAAAGTTGATAATTTGTCTGTAACTATATAAAGTTGTATAGTATCTATGCTTAGACATAGACAAAACACTAAACATACGATTTTCTTTTTTCTTCTAAACTTGTATGATTCTCCCATAAGCACTTATGTTTTCCTTCAATTATCTTTTTTATCAGACACACAAACACAGAATACAGAGACCCAAGACAAGCCCAGGAGACAGATCATGCTTGTGTAACTATTTTGTGCTGGGGATTATCCAAGCACAGATTATACAAAAAAAAAGAGTCAAATGGAAAAGGCAATTAGCTCAGATCTCCGCCTGTGTGGTTGCTTTCAGCACTGTTAGGGCAAGGCTGTTGTGGCATACCCATGCTAACCTCTTCCTTCCTGATATAATATAGCCCTCCCCTAGGCCTTCAGTGAGTCTGTTTCTCTGAATAACTGGGTTTTGTTTTGTTTTTATTTGGTGCCACTCCTGGCAGTGTCCAGGACTTACTTCTGGCTCTGTGCTCAAGGATTACTCCTGGTGCTTGGGGCACCATATGAGGTGCTGCAGATCAAACCAGAGTTTGCAGTGTTGCCTGTTGTACTATCTCCCAGTCTCTATAAATTTATCCTTCTCAACAATTTATTACAATGTCTTTGGATTTCTACCTTTGGATTTCTCCTCTTATCAATAAATTGTTCTCTTATTTTCACTATTAAGGTCCCACTTAATTGCAGCAACAATAACTTTGACATGCAAATATATTAATAGTCCATGATGCTTGTAAAATCAGAGATAGACTTGGTCAAAACTAGGAGTTTGTAGGTCCAGAAAAAGAGCACAATGGGCAAGGTGCTTGCTGTGTACCCGGCTGACCTGGGTCCAGATCAGCATCTCTTATGGACCCCAAACCCACCAGGAGTGAACTCTGAGCTCACAGTCCTGAGTAATTCCCGAACACTGCTGGCTGTGCGCCTCCCCTCCCCCCACCCCTTCACCCCACCGAAATCAGCACCCCTCCGCAGAACTGAAAACAAACAAACAAAAGCTTAAAACAAAAAGTTTTGTTTCAACTTTTCATGGCTCTCCTAACTGTACCTTTTGTTTTAAAATATATCAAATAGGAACTGAGTCATGGGGAATTTTATAGGAGAACATTGATATGTTTTATTTCCCTTGTCACAAGGAGCTCAGGTTTATCACAGTGCTCCTGAGGCACTTCCATTCCATTGTGTTCATCTGTAAACTCTTCTCTGTGCTCTCCTCCCCAGTCAGTTAATCAGCTTCCCCTCCCCTCCGTAATCAGCTTCTGTTTATTTGTAAGGTCAGATCCTTCTAGGACACTGAACTTATATTGTAAGTTAATATTGCCTTTCTTCTCTCCTTATGTCTTTTGAATAGTTTACTTCAAAGCAATGCCCTTTTTGTATAGACACAGGAAGACAGTTAAGATTATGCTTTTATAACTTGAGATTTAATTGGCTTCAAATATTATTCACTCCCAGGCATCTGCTTTCTCGACTTAAGCCTCAGTTGTCCTTAGTTCCTAGCACCTCAAAAGCAGGGTCCTGATGAGCTACTGAATGGACCCACAGCAAGCTGTGAGCTACCCTAGCATCAAAATGGGCCAGGCCAAAGTGCCACGATCCTCAACTATAAGTTGAGAGCATGGTCATGGACAGATGCTGTTATGATCCAAAACTAATCGAGACGAGATCAGGACACTGCTAGGGACAGGAAAGACTAATCTGGCCTGAGCACTGTAGTCTGAGATCAAGATGACCCCAGGAGAAACAATTCTATACACTTAAAGCATCTCTTACTGTGTTCATACAAAATGACTAATATTATGAATGCATGTTTGTTGGAAAAGCAGAGGAGAAACACACCCATGGGATTTCCCTCCTGGGTGGGTCGTTTTTTACTGAAAGAGAATCTGTCCTAGAAGCAGCTTTCCCTGAGGGAAAGAACTTTAACCCCATTGATTGTGACCACACCTGTGTGTAAGCCCCAACCTCTCACGCTAGAGGATTTAACTAGACTGCAAGAGTGGGTTGGGAAGAGAAGTTTAGAGAGAGACAGGAGAGAATGGAGATGAGATGAGATTGAAATAAAACTGCAACTGAGACCAACCAGCCTGGACTTCCTTTGCCTGCCCATCACCATGGATCTCCCTAGGGTGGGGGAAGTGGCATGAGACTACCGAAAGCAGGCGGTGGGAGAGATAGAGCACTGCTGCCCTTTTGTGTTTACACAGAATTAAATAGATTCTCTGAAGAAATGTTTTCTTATTTGCAGAACAAACATCTTTTCAGATTACTCTGAGTAAATAATAGGGCTTAGTTTGAAAGGTGAGGGAGAGGAGTATTGTTATGGAAAGTCAAAAGAGAGATGATTAAGAATGTAGGTAAAGGGGGGTCTGGAGCACAGCGGGTAAGGCGTTTGCCTTGCATGCGGCGGACCTGAGTTGATTCCCAGCATCCCATATGGTCTCTGAGCACTGCCAGGAGTAATTCCTGAGTGCAGAGCCAGGAATGGCCCCTGTGCATTGCCGGGTGTGACCCAAAAAGCAAAAAAGAAAAAAAAAAAGAATGTAGGTAAAGAACCTAAATAGTAGTTTCCTGGCTACAGGGAGATTTATGATAAACGAAAGTGTAGGATTAGTAAGAAAAATGGGGGTCTCACAAAGGAAAAGATGGTGG